TTAGATATATTTAATCCCAAAACTCACAATATATATATATAAAAAAAGATACCAGCTTTGTAAACTTCCTAACATTACTTTCTGGTAATAGCAAAAAATAAAGAAGTTACAGTTTTCCAAACAGTAAAACATGATCACTGTTTTACATGAACAAACCAGGTTTTTCTTTAGTTCTAACCAGCTAATCTGTCTTTTTGGATTCACACTACAATTGTGGCTTCCCTCTCTTATTCCCAATAATCCTGCCTCATGCAGCCTACTCTTTGACAGGTTTCACATATTTCTAGATACACTGTGGATTTCAAAGCAGTGCTTGGAGGTCTTAAGAATATTCTGCCTCCTCAAATTATCTTCATCTTGTGTCAAAACATAGGGGAGCTGTGGGAAAAGTGTGCATAAATTCTTTGAGCACAATGTATCTGGAGGTTTGGTTACAAGTTACAAAAGCCCAGAACAAGCATTTCTTCTACAGCAATCTTTACACGGAAAGGAATACCAGGAGATTAAATCTCTCTTTCTCCTAATACCGTGAGTGGGATGGGGTTTTGTTTGTTTTGTTTTGTTTTTCTTTGAGGTTTGTTGTTGTTTGGTTGTTTTTGTTTTTTTCAGGGGGTGGTGGGTGTGGGTTTTTTTACATTTTTAATCCTTCTAGGTCCCTTCATATTATTTCCTCTAAACGTACTGAAGATTTTAAGAAATAAAGGGAATCCAAGGACAGATGGTGAAAGTGATTAGAGACTTAGAAAGACTTCCATATGAGGAGAGATTATTAAAAAGACTGCCTCGCTTACAGACAAGATGAATGGGAGGTATCATAAGAGAGACACGGAAAATGAGAAGAGACATTCCACAGAACGTTTTTTCATCACTAGAAAGCAAGTGGATGTCTGTATTCTTTGTTTAACATAAGACTTTGTGTGTGTGTGTGTGTGAGATCACATAAGAATCAGTTCATCCACAAAACACTGATTCTATTCCTAGTCTCACTAAGGCTGAAAGCACAAGACAATTGAAATTAAGATTATCTATTGGTTAATAAATAAACCACATTTGTTCCAGGTAAGGTTTTTTTGTTTTTAAATAAAGGAAGAATTCTTAAAATTTCAAATAGAAGTCTACTACTAATAAAAGAATGTTGTGAATAGGCTCCAATGTGCAAGAATTTACATAATTAGGACGTCCTGCATCTCTCCAAAGCATCTGGCCCTTGTTAAAAGCAGGACTTACCACTGCCTAGACTTCTGATGAGATGCAGTAAAGGAACTCACATGTTTTAGTTGAACTAGAAAAGGATTTTTCTAGTAAGTAATAAGTATACATTTGTAATCCTGATGAAACAGGGAAGAAATGTGTACTCTAAGGGCGTAAGAGATCAAGAGTGAAGAGCAATGCCCTGATCAGCAGCAAAAAAACTCTGTACACAGGTTTCTGAGGTCTAAATCAGACAACTTCGAGAGCATTCTAATCGAGTCTTGGAAAAGCAGTCCTGACACAATGCTCTAGAAGCAAAAGCCAACACAATGAGGCATAAATTAGCATAGCCAAGCTAGTTTGAGCATCAGGAATATTACTCTTGCAATTGCATAGACCTCCGCATGGACTTACTGCCTAAGCAGCACAGTGTAGCTGGAATATGAGCACCTCTCGTCTCCCAGAGTACTCACTGCAAAAACAAGTCCCTTAAGAAAGCATCACGACAGCCTTTAGCTGTTCTACAAGCTACATTCCAGCAAGAACATTACTTGGTGCATGACAGCTAAAATGTAACCCTGGTTCCCAAATCTTATCCTACTTCATGTCTTAGGTCCTGATTTTGAAAGATTTGGATTAGTTCTTGAAGCGATGCAGGAATCAACTAGCAGTGGATGCGAAGCACAGTGAAGCTGCAGCAACTGGCATTAGCAGAGGTGAACTGAAACATTTTGCACAGCTGTATTGTCCACATGGATTCCACCTTGCACAGCTGTATTGTCCACATGGATTCCACGTGTGCCAGCCAAGCAAATTGAAGTAATCCAGATTATAGTGACCGGATATCGTCGACAAAGAGAGGTAGGAGAAGTCTCCTTGAAGGGTACCCTTCTTAAAGCTGGGGATGTATGATTTACCAGAACCAAGGTAACCACACGACTGTAAATCTATACCCACCAAATAACACCAAAACTGAAAGGCACTGATACTATTACACTATAAGCAATAGCAGTTTTATGCCCTGCTCCGTGGTGCCATGCGCGGCATAGCTTGGGTCTCTTGTGACTTGTCCAAGGAAGAGAACAGGGATCCAGCCTCTCCCTCAAAATACTTGGCCTCCTTAGTCAGCAATGACTCCCCCCATGTTAAGAATGATTCAGCTGTTCTTCATTAAAGTGTTTTCCCTCTTTCAGGCACTGGGAACTTTACACAAAATCTGACATGTTCACTGGAGAGTTGTTAGCAGAGCCCACACTATCTTACACTTCAAATAGCCTCAAACAAGAAGGTAATGAAGAGACCTGTTGCCTTA